ATGAGGAGAAACATTGGTTAATGATAGTTTCTAATGAAAATTTATACTTTTTAAAGATTTATTTATTTGTAAGGCAGAGTTACAGAGAGGAAGAGGCAGAAAAAGAGAGAGATCATCCATCCACTGGCTCAATCCCCAGCTGGCTGCAATGGCCAGAGCTGTGCCAGGTCGAAGCCAGGAGCCGGGAGCTTCCTCCAGGTCTCCCGTGTGGGTGTAGGGGCCCAAGCACTTGGGCCATCTTCCACTGCTTCCCCAGGCCATAGTGGAGAGCTGGATTGGAAGTAGAGCCACCAGGACTTGAACCAGCACCCATATGGGATGCCGGCACTGCAGGTGGCAGCTTCACCCGCTGTGCCACAGCGCTGGCCCCTATACTTGATTATTAGTTGACTATATTACTTGAGATTTCTTTTTTTTTTTTTTTAATTTTTTTTTTTTTTTGGACAGGCAGAGTTAGACAGTGAGAGAGAGACAGAGAGAAAGGTCTTCCGTTTCCATTGGTTCACCCCCCAAGTGGCCACTACAGCCGGCACGTTGCGGCTGGCGTGCTGTGCCGATCCGAAGCCAGGAGCCAGGTGCTTCTCCTGGTCTCCCATGGGGTGCAGGGCCCAAGCACTTGGGCCATCCTCCACTGCCCTCCCAGGCCACAGCAGAGAGCTGGACTGGAAGAGGAGCAACCAGGACAGAATCTGGCGCCCCGACCGGGACTAGAACCCGGTGTGCCGGCGCTGCAGGCGGAGGATTAGCCTAGTGAGCCGCGGCACCGGCCATCTACTTTCATATTTTTAACATTTATTTTATTTGTTTGAAAGGCAGAGTTACAGAGACAGGGACAGAGAGAGAGAGAAAGAGATCTTCCATCCACCAGTTCACTCTCCAAATAGCCACAATAGCTATGGTTGGTCCAGACAGAAGCCAGAAGAGCAGAACTCCATATGGGTCTCCCACACGGGTGGAAGGCACCCAAGGACTGGACCATCTTCTGCTGCTTCCCCAGGTGCATCAGCAGGGAGCTGGGCAGGAAGCAGAGCAGCCAGGACTTGAACCGGCGCCCAGTTAGGATGTCAGCATTGTGAGCAGTGGCTTAACCCAGTGTGCAATACCACCAGACCTTCACTTTTTTTTTTTTTTTTTTTGGACAGGCAGAGTTAGACAGTGAGCGAGAGAGACAGAGAGAGAGTTATAGACAGTGAGAGAGAGACAGAGAGAAAGGTCTTCCTTCCATTGGTTCACTCCCCTAATGGCTGCCACAGCCGGCGCTGCACTGATCCGAAGCCAGGAGCCAGGTGCTTCCTCCTGGTCTCTCATGTGGGTGCAGGGCCCAAGCACTTGGGCCATCCACCACTGCCCTCCCGGGCCACAGCAGAGAGCTGGCCTGGAAGAGGAGCAACCGGGACTAGAACCCGGGGTGCCAGTGCCGCAGGCGGAGGATTAGCCAAGTGAGCCATGGCCGGCCCCTTCATTTTTTTTTTAGTAGGTCTTTTTGGGCTGGATTTCTCCCCCTGAAATTTTCCCTACCATCATGACCAAGTTGGTCACTAGCTTCCACGCTGCTTTCTAAATTTCCGTAGCTTTCTCGTCGTGACAGGAATTCCTTCCACTAGAGCAGCAGCATGCTAAGACCTGCATTTTCCAGAGCTGACAAGGGAATAAGGCCCAGCACACCTGAGGATGCAGTCCAGCGGACAGCCTCACAACCAAAGAGCAGATGGAGATGCCTCTGCGTCTCTCCCTCTTTCTCTGTAACTCTTTAAAATAAATAAATAACTTCTAAAATTAAAAAAGTTTTAAAGGCATCATGTCAAAGTGGATTAGTACTTTTAACATTGTATCACATTAGTATATATAAACTTATTTTTCCATTTAGAATTATCAGATAACAGGGCTGGCACTGTGGCGCAGTGGGTTAACGGCCCTGGTCTGAAGTGTCAGCATCCCATATGGGTGCCAGTTTGGGACCCAGCTGCTCCACTTCCAATACAGCTCTCTGCTATGGCCTGGGAAAGCAGCAGAAGATGGCCCAAGTCCTTGGGCCCCTGCACCCATGTGGGTGACCCTGAGGAAGCTCCTGGCTCCTGGCTTCGAATTGGCGCAACTCTGGCCTATGCGGTCAATTGGTGAGTAAACCAGCGAATGGAAGACCTCTCTGTTTGCCTCTCCTCCCTCTGTGTAACTTTGACTTTCAAATAAATAAATAAATCTCAAAAAAAATTATCACATAAAATAAGAGTTCATGGTAAAATTTGAATCTCAAATAAATAAAAATTTTTAGTATAAGTAAGTCCCATGCAATTTGGCACATATCTATACCACAAATTACTCATTATTTAACTGAAATTCAAATTTCACTGGCATCCTGTACCTTTACTTGGTAAGCTTGCCAACCCTACTTTTAACATCACGGAAGTTCATACACACAGGGCCGGCACTGTGATGCAGTAGTTAAGCCTCTGCCTGCGGCGCCAGCATCCCATATGGGTGCCGGTTTGTGTCCCAGCTGCTCTACTTCCAATCCAGCTCCCTGCTGATGGCCTGGGAAAGCAGTAGAAGATGGCCCAAGTGCTTCGGCCCCTGCACCCACGTGGGAGACCCAGACTGGTCCAGCTCCAGCCATTGTGGTAATCTGGGAGTGAACCAGCAGAGAAGACTTCTCTGTCTCTCCCTCTCTCTGTAACTTTGCCTCTCAAATAAATACTCTTAAAAAAAAAATAAAAAGCAAAAGTCGCACAAAGTCTCACCTTTATCATCTGTTTTAACTCTTTAGATTAAAAAAGTTTTGCTTATTTGAAAGGCGAAGTGACAAGAGGGAGAGGGGGAGAAAGAGAGAGGAGCGACACGGAGATCCACTGATTCAGTCTCCAAATGATTCAACAGCAGGGACAAGACCCGGCCAAAGCTAGTAGTCCAAATCTCCATCTGGGTCTCCTATGTGGAAGGCAGGGGACCAAGCACTTAGGCATCCCCCACTGCTTTCCCAGGTACAGCAGCAGGGAGCCGGACGGGCGGGAAGCAGGACAGCTGGGACTCAAACCCTGCTACGCCACGACACTGTTCCCTACGGGAACTCTTCTGATGGAAACCTCCGCAGAGCAAGGGTTGACGAGGGGCAGTCTCCAGCCAAGGTTTGGCCCGAGCCTACTTCTGAACGTGAGATTTCATCCGAACGTGGCCTCTTATCGTCATCTGGGACTGCTTCTGCACTACACTGGCTGAGTCGAGAGCGGCACCAGAGATGGGGCAGCCTGCAAAGCCGCAGCATTCGCCACCTGGCCCATTATGGAAGAGGCTGTGGCACCCGCTCCGGTAACCAGCTCACACCGACTGTACGCCGTTCATTCTGAGCACAGCAGGTCCCTCCCGTTCACCGGGAAAAGCGGAAACCAGCTCCCATGCGTCCCGCACCTCGTCGGACCCTCCTAAACTCCACTGGCAGCGGCAACAAGTCCCCGTGCCCCAGTGGGCACCATTTAAATCTTTCTCTTTTACTTGAAAGTCAGAGTTCCAGAGACCAAGAGGGAGAGACACAGAGCAAAGGGGGACAGAGATCTTCCGTCTGTTGCCCAGATGGCCACAGCAGGCGGGAGCCGGGCCAGGACCAAGCCAGGAGCTTCATCCACATCTCCCCAGTGGGTGGCAGGAGCACAAACACTTCAGCCGTCCTCTGCTGCTTTTCCAAGGCCATTAGCAGGGAGCTGGATCAGAAGTGGAGCAGTTAAACTGTACATGTTCTACCTAGAAGTCTAAAACGTATGGACCTTACCATGTGCACATGAATATCATTCACTGCAAAGCCTATTAATGTGACCCAATTCAAAATGAAAGAAAAAGGAAGGTCATAATTACTGTGTGTCCCAAGGGTAATAGTCAAATGGATTATCTTTTATTATCATCCTTACTTCCGTACAATTATCCAGCATGTTGTTTTGCTACATAATTGGATCACAGATTTTGCTGGTTTTCCTAAAGCCACTGTTCTTCTCCAACTCCGTGCTAACAACATGCCGGCGCCGTCTTCCCTCTTCCCCACTTCCAGGTGTAGCGTCTGCTGCAGGAGTTACTCGGAGCTCCTAATCTGAACTCTGCACAGCTATCACCTAGAATCCTCTCAGCACAGTCCTGGGTTAGATGCCTCTCTCGGCTCAGTCGCTCTCAGCACAGTCCTGGGTTAGATGCCTCTCTCGGCTCAATCGCTCTCAGCACAGTCCTGGGTTAGATGCCTCTCTCGGCTCAATCGCTCTCGGCACAGTCCTGGGTTAGATGCCTCTCTCGGCTCAATCGCTCTCGGCACAGTCCTGGGTTAGATGCCTCTCTCGGCTCAATCGCTCTCGGCACAGTCCTGGGTTAGATGCCTCTCTCGGCTCAATCGCTCTCGGCACAGTCCTGGGTTAGATGCCTCTCTCGGCTCAATCGCTCTCGGCACAGTCCTGGGTTAGATGCCTCTCTCGGCTCAATCGCTCTCGGCACAGTCCTGGGTTAGATGCCTCTCTCGGTTCAGTCGCTCTCAGCACAGTCCTGGGTTAGATGCCTCTCTCGGTTCAATCGCTCTCGGCACAGTCCTGGGTTAGATGCCTCTCTCTCCGACTTCAGGGCTTCCCCTTGTGGCAGGAATGTATCCTCAAGTAATGCTTTCAGAGAGCACTGAGCTCTTGCATGCCTACCAGGACCCACACTTTGTCCCCCCACACTTCTCAGCATGCCTCCCTGCTCGGCATACCAGTCGCAGGTGCAGGGCAGAGGTACTCACCACTGCACCCAGTGCACGCCACACTGGATTCCCAGCACCCATCCCAGTACCTCGCACAAAGACGGAGCTCAAACAAGTTACCAAGTGGAGGAGCACACTGACGAGCCCAGCTTTAGAACATGGCGGCAGCAGTCTCTGGGCCAGGCAGGGGTTTACATGGTGTGCACAACATTCCACATAACTTGAAAGGACAAGATACACACAGGTCATGGACTAAAGGTTGACCCCCATGATGGCAGCTGAGCCATCCTGCCCCAGAGTCCATTCTCGGCTCTGCTGCTTCCTAATGAAATTAAGTGGCAGGGGCCAGTGCTGTGGTGCAGCAGGAAAAGCCACCGCCTGCAGTGCTACATCCCGTATGAGCGCCAGTTCGAGTCCCGGCTGCTCCACTTCCTGTCCAGCTCTCTGCTATGGCCTGGGAAGGCAGCAGAAGATAGTCCAAGTGCTTGGGCCCCTGCACCCACATGGGAGACCCGTAAGAAATTCCTGGCTCCTGGCTTCAGATCCATGCAGCTCCTACTGTTGCAGCCAACCAGGGAGTGAACCAGCGAATGGAAAACCTCTCTTTCTCTCTCTCTGCCTCTCCTTCTCTCTATGTAACTCTGACTTTCAAATGAATAAATAAATCTTTAAAAAAAAGGAAATTAAGTGATTTTTTTTAATTTTTAAGATTTATTTATTTATTTATTTGAGAGACAGAGAGAGAGAGAGAGACTCTTCCATCAGCTAGTTCACTCCCCAAACAGCTGCAACAGCTGGGGCTGGGCCAAGCCAAAGCCAGGAGCTTCCTCCAGATCTCCCAAGTGGGTGCAAGGGCCAAGTACTTGGGTCACTCTCTGCTGCTTCCCCAGGCAAATCAGCAGGGAGCTGGACAGGAAGTGGAGCAGCCAGGACTCGAACCAGTGCCTATATGAGATGTGAGTGTCACAGGCAGCAGCCTAACCTACTGTGGCTCTGTGAATGTGCGTCCCTGCAGCCCAGGGCTAGGGTCAACCCTGCACCCTCCTACCTGCACAAGTTGCTCTGCTGAGGGACAGACTTCCATTTCTTTCCGTGTCACCCCAAAGCTGCCTTTCAGGCTCGTATCCTTGACCTGCTGCTGCAGCAAGGGCACCAGATACCGCAGCGTGAGCAGCACGCCCAGGACCAGCGGCGTGGAATGTTCTTCCTCCACAGGAACCAGCAGACCTACAAAGGCGGCAACAGGACCCTCAACCCGGGATTCAGGGCTTGTCGAGCCAAGAGACCCGCAGGAAAGCCCTGGACGCGCCTGGCCGTGAGGGACAAAGGCAGCACATGACCTGGTGCATCGCCAAGGCGGGCAGTCACTTAGAGCAAGCGATCCACGGCTCACCTCAGCACTTCTGGCCTTGACTTCAGTCACTCATACTGAAGGAGACACTGTCGACTGACCTACCAGAACCCACAGGGACCTGAGCCCTCACAGATGGAGGGCCAGGCTGACGCGGGCAGAACCAGCGCCCAGCTAGGTGCCCTTCAGCACGGCTGCATCTGCCGGCCACAGAACCCCAACACGGCTCCCGTTATCAGTCTGCCACTGCCGAGCGACGTGGCCTGCGAGCCGAGCGGCTGTCCAGTGCTGGACTCTCAGGTCTCTCCTGAGCCAAAGCTGCACGTCCCACTCACCGACTCTGCTTACCTAAGAGCACGTTCAGCAGCCAGCTGTAGAAGTACTGGGTCCTCCGCGAGTGCTGGCAGACGCTCACAGCCGCGCTGGCCGCCGTGCGCCGGACAGCAGGGGAGCTCGACTTCAGGTTCGCTATGAAAGCCTTTAAGAGAACCTGGAAGCAAAAGTCCATGGAGATAAAAGATAAAGCTCCGGTGAAACTTACCACATATTTCATACAATCCGACTTCAACCAGAAGCTCCAAACTCCTGCAGGGGAAACAGCCGGGGATGGATGAATTGGGTCAAGAAACCTGCACTACAGTGGCTGAGGTCACAGAAACACTGGGGAGGGTGTGCAAGAAGTCCCCATCACAAGAGACCGCTTGAAAATGGGAAATCAGAGTTCTAGGCCCAGGGAAGGGGGGCAGGGGGGCAAAGAGACTCCCTCAGAGAGTCCACGGGGAGAATGCTGGGCTCCTGGGGATCACCTCGTGCACCGGGAACAAAGAGGAACTGCGCTTCTACTTGACCTAAAGACCCAATTCGTGACCCTCAGTCCTCTGGCCCCAGTCTGGCCCTGATGTTCTGTGACAGCAAACCCCATCCTTCCCAGAGGAGAGGCAGGACTGTGCTCTCTGCTGGATGAAGACGTGACCCCTACGTTCCCCTCAGAAGGGAGGAGGAGGGTCCCAACATGAAGTCTTCAGACCCCTCATCACGCCTGCCCCTCCCTATGTACCTCAGGGTGGCAGACAAGAAAATCAAGGGGCAGCAGCAGAAGAATCAGGGGCAGGAGGATCATCCGGGGATCATGAGAAAGTCTTACCAACGGCCCCCTTAAACCCTTACCCTGATTTAAGAAAAGGAGCGTCCTCCTAGACAGGGGTCTCATCGGCCAACCAAACACTTTCCAATGTTGATCCCAGGGATCAGGCACAAATGCAGATCTCAGAGAGGTAATTAAGGCAATGAAAGTCTGCTACCAGGTCACAAAGTGTCTCTAAGGCATTTGCAATTCAACAGGAGAAAGAAGAGGACCCCCTCCCCACTTTCCTACTAAGACTTAAAGATCAAAAGAGAAAATACTCTGGACTGGATCCAGAGGAACCAGGATTTTTAAAAGCTAATTTTATAACCAACAGGTGGTCTGACATCACAAAGAAATTACAGAAGATTGATGGGTAGAATGAAAAATAACTGAGGAACTATTTAGGGAAGCACAGAAAGTCTTCATGAGAGGGAAGAGGAAAAGCAGAAACGGCGGAAATCACGGTTTCCCACTGCAGATCGAAAGCCTGCTCACAAAAAGGCGAAACCCCAAGTTACAGGCGTGGAGGAAACTTACGGACGAAACCTGAAGCGGACCACAACACTTTTGTTTGACACTGGAGCTGCCTATTCTTGCCTGATGTTCCAACCAAAAGGTACAGAATTCTCCACAGAAAAACTGACGTCGTCAGTGGTAAAGGGGGAGAGGTTCCAAGCTCCAATACTTAATTAAAAAACAATTTTATGGGTCATTTTTATATGCACCTAAGGTAGAAATTAATCTTCCAGGAGGAGATCCAATTGTGAGGTTAAGATTATGAGTAGGCCGGCGCCGCGGCTCACTAGGCTAATCCTCCACCTGCGGCGCTGGCACACCGGGTTCTAGTCCCGGCTGGGGCACCGGTTCTGTCCTGGCTGCTCCTCTTCCCGTCCAGCTCTCTGCTGTGGCCCAGGAGTGCAGTGGAGGATGGCCCAAGTGCTTGGGCGCTGCATCCGCATGGGAGACCGGGAGGAAGCACCTGGCTCCTGGCTTTGGATCGGCGCGGCGCGCCAGCCGCAGCACACCAGCCATAGCGGCCATTTTGGGGGGTGAACCAATGGAAAAGGAAGACCTTTCTCTCTGTCTCTCTTTCTCTAACTCTGCCTGTCAAAAATAAATAAATAAATAAATAAATAAATAAATAAATTTAATAAAAGATTAGGAGCAGACAAGGTGCAAATAAAAGTGAAGGAAAGGGGCAACACTGTGGCACAGTGGGTTAATCCTCTGCCTGCAGCACCAGCATCCCACATGGGCGCTGGTTTGAGTCCCGGCTATACCACTTCCGATCCAGCTCTCTACCAAGGCCTGGGAAAGCAGTGGAAGATGGCCCAAGTGCTTGGGCTCCTGTACCCACGTGCAAGACCCGGAAGAAGCTCCTGGCTCCTGGTTTCTGATTGGCTTAGCTTCCGCCACTGCGGACATTTGGGGACTAAAGGATAGAAGACCTTTTCTCTCTGTCTCTCCCTCTCACTGTCTGTAATTGTCTCTCTCAAATAAATAAAATCTTAAAAAAAAAAAAAAAAAAAACTAAAGGAAAAAGGCTTTACAACCAGTAATAGAGGGAATAAACTGATCCTTATGTGAATTGCATGTTCCCAGTCAAGCTTTAAGACTAAAAAATCTGGAGAAGGACCTTATAAATAGCAAGGGAGGGGCCAGCACTGTGGCGTAGCAGGTAAAGCCGCCACCTGCAGCACCAGCATCCCATATGGGCACTGGTTCCAGTCCCAGCCGCTCCACTTTCGATCCAGCTAACGACCTGGAAAAGCAGTGGAAGATGCCCCAAGTCCCAGGGCTGCTGCACCACGTGGGGGACCCGGAAGTACCTGGCGCCAATCAAACTGACAACTACTATTTACAGTGATTCAGTTACTTCACTGAATTCTTCAGATTCAAGATCTCCCTTCATCATTCCAAAACTCAGGACATTGGTTTTAACAGCTTCTTAATAAAACAAGAAAACTGAGAAAAAAAAAAAAAGAGAGAGAGAGGCTGAATCATTTATCCAGGGCCACACAGCTAATAAAACCTGAATCTTCACACTACTAACAGGTATTCTTTCATTTCCGCCTCAGCCACGTGAGTACCCTTGATGGCTCATTTTTCAGAGTAAAAAGGAAACAAACTTAGAGTGCTGGACAATCTGCCTAAAGGGACAGAGCCAGCAGTGAGGACAGTGCTCCGACCACTGCACCACTGACCACAGCACTCACCCACAAAAGAGCGGATGGCCAAGAACCCTATCACCTGCAGGCCACATCACGGAGTGACCGTAATGCAGATTTGCAGGTGGCTGTGGACAGGAAGCCACTTGACTTCACAGCGACAAGGCACGTCAGCAAGCTTCCTGCTCCCTGCAGGCCTGGAACAGTCACACTGCCTCTGGTCGACCTTGCACACCTAGAACCAATCTGCTCTGGAAAATCCCTTCCAATGTGCATCTGTAAACCGTCTCTCTAACCACCCCCAGACAAGAAAGCGGAGTGGAAGCACAGTTGGCCACATGAGGGCAGTGGAAATTCCACGAGCACTCTCAGCGGACTGCTGCTCCAAAGCCCGAACACCCACAAGCCTGTTCACTACATCATTCACATGCCTGTGAACCGAGGCAACCATCATACCTTAATTTCATTGTCATTCGCAAAATTTCCAAACGAAGCCATAATTTTGGGAACAGCTGCAGCCAGGGTCTCCTGGACTGATTCCTCAGGTCTCTTGCTTGTTCGCGTCAGGCACGGCAGGAGGTTTACTAGGTAAGGCCTACATGTGTGAGAGGAACATCAGTTACTCCTGCAGAGAACTAATGCGAAGACAAGCAACCACTTATCTGTTGGGGAACAGCCAGTTTTACATGCAAAACAATCCCGAACAGAGACAGGCCAAAGCTCCATGAAAGAACTTGGAGGACGCTGGCAGCCGAAGCACAAACGTGGGAGACTCATCCTGCACTCCTCCCACAATCACAGAGGACGCCGATAGGCTGGCTTTAAGAAGTACTGGCAGGAAGCCGGTGCTGTGGCGCAGCGGGTTAACGCAATGGTCTGAAGCACTGGCATCCCATATGGGCGCCGGTTTGAAACCTGGCTGCTCCAGTTCCGATCCAGCTCTCTGCTGTGGCCTGGGAAAGCAGCGGAAGATGGCCCAAGTGCTTGGTCCCTGCACCCACGTAGGAGACCTGGAAGAAGCTCCTGGCTCCGGATTGGCACAGCTCCGGCCGTTGCAACCAACTGGGGAGTGAATCAGCAGATGGAAGACCTCTCTCTCCTCTCTGTGTAACTCTGACTTTCAAATAAATAAATAAAAGTACTGGTGGGGCAGGCTCTGTAGTGTAATGAAAAAAGCCATCTCCATGGAGCTGGCACTGTGGCAGAGCAGGTGAAGCCACCGCCTGCAGGCTGGCATCCCATGTTGGCGCCGGTTCAAGTCTCAGCTGCTCCACTTCCAACCCAGCTCCCTGCTATGGCCTGGGAAAGTAGTGGAGGATGGCCCAGTGCTTGGGCCCCCGCACCCGCGTGGGAGACCCAGGAGAACCTCCCGGCTCCTGGCTTTGGATAGGTGCAGCTCTGGCCGTTGTGGCCATCTGGGGAGTGAACCAGCGCATAGAAGATCTCTCTGCCTCTACTTCTCTCTCTGTGTAACTCTGATTTACAAGTAAATAAAATAAATCTTTAAAAAAAGAGAGAGAGAGAAAAGCCACCTCCAGCAGCACCAGCGCCAGTGCAAGTCCCGGCTGCTCCACTTCTAATCCAGCTCCCTGCTAACATGCCTGGGGAAGCAGCAGAGGACAGCCACATGCTTGGGCCCAGGCATCCACGTAGGAGACCAGGATGAAATTCACGGCTCCTGCCTTTGGCCTGGCCCAGTGCTGGATGTTTTGGCCATCTGAGGAGTGAAACAGCAGATGGAAGACCTCTCTCTGTCTCTCTCTCTCTCTCTCTTTCTGCTTTTCACATAAATACATAAATCAAAAAAAAAAAAAGTATCGGCAGTCAATTACAATAGTTCTTAAAATACTCATTTTCGGGGCCAGCGCTGAGGCATAGAGGGTAAAAAGCCACTGCCTGCAGTGCTGGCATCCCATGTGGGCACCAGTTCAAGTCCCTGATGCTCCACTTCTGATTCAGGTCCCTGCTAATGCACCTGGGAAAGCAGCAGAAGATGGTCCGAGCCCTTGGGCCTCTGCACCTGAGTGAGAAACCTGCAAGAAGCTCTTGGCTCCTGGCTTTGGATCAGCCCAGCTCTGGCCATTGCAGCCATTTGGGGAGTGAACCATCAGATATAAGATCTCTCTCTCTGTGCCTCAGCCTCTCTATAACTCTGCTTTTCAAATATATAAATAAATCTTTAAAAAATAATTTAAAATATTCATAATTTCAACTGGAAAATAGATAATACAAGAAAATACCACTTTAAACAGAAAAATTAAGAAATCAGGGGGCTGGTGCAGTGGTGTAGCAGGTAAAGCCGCCAACTGCAGTGCTGGCATTCCATATGGGCACTGGTTCGAGTCCCAGCTGCTCCACTTCCAATCCAGCTCTCTGCTATGGCCTGGAAAAGCACAGATGGCCCAAGTGCTTGGGCCCTTGCACCGAGTGGGAGACCCAGAAGAAGCTCCTGGCTCCTGGCTTTAGATCGGCGCAGCTCTGGCTGTTGCAGCCATCTGGGGAGTGAACCAGCAGATGGAAGACCTCTCTGTCTATCTCTCCTTCTCTGTAACTCTTTCAAAATAAATCAATCTTAAAAAAAAAAAAAAAGAAAGAAAAAAGAAATCAGAATAATGCTTATTTTAAAAAGGAGAGTTTACATATAAACTTTTTTATTTTATTTTATTTTATTTTATTTTTTTTTTTTGGACAGGCAGAGTGGACAGTGAGAGAGAGAGACAGAGAGAAAGGTCTTTCTTTTGCCATTGGTTCACCCTCCAATGGCCGCCGCGGCCGGCGTACCATGCTGATCCGATGACAGGAGCCAGGTACTTATCCTGGTCTCCCATGGGGTGCAGGGCCCAAGCACTTGGGCCATCCTCCACTGCACTCCCGGGCCACAGCAGAGAGCTGGTCTGGAAGAGGGGCAACTGGGACAGAATCCGGCGCCCCGACCGGGACTAGAACCCGGTGTGCCGGCACCACAAGGCGGAGGATTAGCCTAGTGAGCCGCAGCGCCGGCCTCATATAAACTTTTAAACGTATGAAAAATATGTATTCGGTAATACACAGGCCTGGAGCTGCCCAGATGCCTGCCAGGGGTTTGCCCTTCGGCCCCTACTGGCAAAGACAGGCAGTGAACAGAACCACAGAGCAAAACCCATGGGGGTACCTGGGATATTTTATTAGATAGGGAAGTCGGTGTTGGGGCCTCTCAGAGGAGGTGACATTTTTGCTTAAACCCTGGGAGTAGAATAAACCAGTATCAGAAGGAAGAGAAGTCTGACTCGCCTGAAGAACTAAGCAGGGTAAGGGAGTGTCATCACCCACATACTTTTTCCCCCAAAGATTTATTTGGGGCTGGTGCCGTGGCGCAGCGGGTTAAGCCGCCACTTACAATGCCAGCATCCCTTATGGGTTCAAGTCTCAGCTGCTCTGCTTCCGATCCAGCTCCCTGCTGATGCGCCTGTGAAAGCAGCAGAGGATGGCCCAAGTGCTTGGGCCCCTGCATCCATGTGCAAAGCCCAGAAGAAGCTTCTGACTCCTGGCTTTGGCCTGGCCCAGTACTGGCCATTGTAGCCATCTGGGGAATGAACCAGCAGATGAAAAATACCTCTGTCTCTCCTCTCTCTATCACTCCAACTTTCAAATAAGTAAATAAATCCTTAAAAAAAAAAAAAAAAAGATTTATTTATTTGAAAGGCAGAGTTACAGAGAGGAGGCGAGAAAGAGAACTTTCTTCTGACACTTCACTCCCCAAAAGGCCACAATGGCCAGGGCTGGGCAGGCCAAAGCAAAAACCCAGGAGGCAGGAGCTTCTTCTGGGTTGTCCACGTGGATGGCAGGGGCCTAAGGACTTGAACTATCTTTTGCTGCTTTACCAGGCCATTAGCAGGGAGCAGGATTGGAATGAAGCAGCTGGGGACACAAACTAGAGCCCGTAGAGATGCCAGCATAGCAGGCAGGAGCTTTAACCCCTACACCACAATGTCGGCCTGCCAAATATTTTCCAAGGTCACTGAGGCTACCATGGGAGAACTGAGACGTGTCGTTTCAGAATATGACAAATTTGGTCGGTGCCATGGCTCACTAGGCTAATCCTCTGCCTGTAGCGCCGGCACCCCGGGTTCTAGACCTGGTCGGGGCGCCGGATTCTGTCCCGGTTGCTCCTCCTCCTGTCAGGCCTCTGCTGTGGCCAGGGAGTGCAGTGGAGGATGGCCCAAGTACTTGGGCCCTCCACCCCATGGGAGACCAGGAGAAGCACCTGGCTCCTGCCTTCGGATCAGCACGGTGTGCCGGCCGCAGCAGCCATTGGAGGGTGAACCAACGGAAAAGGAAGACCTTTCTCTCTGTCTCTGCCTGTTCAAAAAAAAAAAAAAAAAAAAAAAAGAATATGACAAATTTTTCAAAATAAAGATACTAAAAGAAAAGTTATACTGTGTAAACAGAAATTTCCTTAGTGACTTGTACCTCCGTGGCCATGTAAGATTTATTAATTCTAATTTATCTGCAGGGCAGAGACACAGACAGAGACAGGGAGCTCTTCCATCCGCAGGGTCCACTCCCCCAAGCCTACAACAGCTGGGTCTGGGCAAGGCCAAGGCCAGGGGCATCTCCTATGTGGTTGCAGGGACCCAGGAAGCTGAGGCAGCAACCGCTGCCTCCCAGGGTCTGCGTCCGCAGGAAGCCGGGACTTGCACAGGGCACTGCAACATGGGACACGGGCATCCCACGCGGTGACTTCACTGCTGCGCCAGCCGCCACCTCTGCCGTGTCACATCAACAGCAGTGGAGCTGAGAACCTATGGGACTCAAGCACACTTTGGGGTTGAGGACAGAGGGAAGGGGGTGACAAAGTGGTCCAGCTTTCGCTTTTCAACTAATTAAGACAGAACTCAACTAAACTAGCCAAAACTTTATTCACAGCTCAACATTCAGTCGGCGATGAGGCTGCTGTCCCACCCTTCAACCGCTCACAGAGCGCCTTCTAGGCAACTCTGTGTGCAGACGCTGCGCCGGCTCAGGCAGCAGCAGAGAACAAAACAGCCCTCGGTCACAAATCCCCTGAGTCTTTTGGAAGAGGCTGGGGTAGAAAACAAACAAGCACCTGACGGCGTGTATAGGAATATTTCTTTTCTTTTCTTTTCTTTTTTTTTTTTTTTTTGACAGGCAGAGTGGGCAGTGAGAGAGAGAGACAGAGAGAAAGGTCTTCCTTTGCCGTTGGTTCACCCTCCAATGGCCGCTGCGGCCGGCGCGCTGCGGCCGGCGCACCGCGCTGATCCGATGGCAGGAGCCAGGTGCTTCTGGTCTCCCATGGGGTGCAGGGCCCAAGCACTTGGGCCATCCTCCACTGCCCTCCCAGGCCACAGCAGAGAGCTGGACTGGAAGAGGAGCAACCAGGACAGAATCTGGCGCCCCGACCGGGACTAGAACCTGGTGTACCGGCGCCACAGGCAGAGGATTAGCCTAGTGAGCCGTGGCGCCGGCTTTTTTTTTTTTTTTTTTTTTTTTTTGAGAGGCAGAGTGGACAGTGAGAGAGAGACAGAGAGAAAGGTCTTCCTTTGCCGTTGGTTTACCCTCCAATGGCCGCCGCGCCCGGCACGCTGCGGCCGGTGCACCGCACTGATCCGAAGGCAAGAGCCAGGTACTTATCCTGGTCTCCCATGGGGTGCAGGGTCCAAGCACTTGGGCCATCCTCCACTGCACTCCCTGGCCACAGCAGAGAGCTGGCCTGGAAGAGGGGCAACCGGGACAGAATCCGGTGCCCCAACTGGGACTAGAACCCGGTGTGCCGGCGCAGGAATATTTCTAACGGGCCTGGAAGACAGGGAAAACAAGCACCTGACGGCGTGTACAGGAGTATTTCTAACGGGCCTGGAAGACAGGGAAGCCCCTTGAAGAAAGGACACTGGAACTGAGACCCAGCAGATCAACAGTCGTCGGTCCCCAAACCAGAAACGGCGACCCAGACACGACCTACCTGCATTTCTGAGGCCGAACCAGGTGAGCCAGCTCAGCAAACCTCCACAGGGCAGCACGCAGGCTTCGAGGGGCACCATTCTGAGGGTTTAACGAGTGACAGGTTACACGCAGGAGGCACACACTCTAATCACTAACAGGGGCGCATAAAAATAAAAGCATCTTCTCCCAGCGCTAAGTCTACTTTCAGAGAAAAGGCCACTTCAGTGTGTAGAACTTCTGCTAACCACTGCAGGAAATTTAAGTCTAGTTGGCGCCAATCATGAAGACAAAAAAACCTAAGTTACCATTCTTAATTCCTATCCCATCTAAAAGAAATGGCAAATGATTTTCTGCAGAAAAACAAAACAATAGTCTACTTTACCAAACATTTCCTGCTAACATACTTATTAAATAAAAGATAAAATTTACACAAAGAATAAAACAATACCATTTTTTCAATAATGGAAAATAAAGGTGTACCTTTTTAATTTCCTTATAGAGTTCTAACTGTAACCTTGGAAGATTAGAATCCATCAAAGCCTACAACAAAATACAAGACATTTATTTATAGAAGACATATTCCATTAGTAATTCTAAAGAGAATTAAAGGCAACTAAGATTTTAATTCTTGGACAAAATAAAATAGCAGCTAACATAGGAACCTAGTCACTAAAAATAAGAAGCAAGTACATGCAGGAATGTACTAAATAACCAGATACGCATTCGCATTCACTGGAATAAAAAAGGGAGGAGTTACGCTTTCATTATAATCAAATACTATACAAGATCAAAATTAAAATGGCAGTTCAAATCAGTCCCCACGTTCCTGAGGCAAACTGTGAGCCTGACAAGCAGCACGCTCTTGGACCTCACAGGCTCAGGCGACGCCTGAGAAGCCCACACGGCACAGGGGCAGAGCGCGTACCTGAAGACCACAGCCCCTCACTCTGATGGGCCCCCAGCCCAGTGCAGAACCCACAACAGTGAGGAGCCCCACAGCACGTGTCTGCCCCACCCCCCACCCTAGCTGCTGGGCTGAACCAGATGTAACAGCCACATGGCCAACGTCAGCCGAGGAGTGACGGCTAACGGCGTGGCGTCCAGGAGACCGAGCTGGAGGAAGCACCGACTGGAAGGCCCCACTTTCACCCTCCGGAACTTCTCCTCACACTGGAACTGCAAATGCCTGCCCACCAAGAACGAGCAGTACCAAGCCTCACGGGAAGTCTCCCCTTCCTGGAGACACGTCCATTTCAGGGCCACAGGCTGAGCTGGTCTTTTTTTTTCTTTAGCTGTGTTAATTTACTCAAAAGACAGAGAAACAGAAAGAGGCCTTCCAGCCTCTGGTTCACTCCCCAAATGCCCCCAGCAGCAAGGGCTGGGTCAGGCCAAAGCCGAAAGTCAGGAACTCCATCCGGGTCTCCCATGAGGGTGACGGGACCCAAGTACTTGAGCCACCACCCACGCCCCCAGGTGCGTCAGCAGGAGCTGGGTGGAAGTACAGAGTAGCCAGGACTCCAGCCAGCACTCCGAGGGTCACGTTCTGGGAGATTCTGAAGTATAATATTGTCTCAGAAATTTGTAATTCCCAATTGTGCTGTTGCAGTTTGTACTAAACGTCCTTAAATAAGCAAATCAAACCAAATAAATATTATTTATTTATCTACTTGATAGGCAGAGAGAGCTCTTCCATCCACTGGTTCACTCCCCGGATACTTGCAACAGCCGGGACTGAAACTCAAATACGAGATGTGGGAGACCCCGCTGTGTCCCAACCACGGCACCAAGGGCTCACCCCACAAAAATTTTCAAGTAAGACCAGAAGTCTTATTCGAAAGTGTGATCTATCTTGATAAGCATTTTGTAAATTAATATCAAACTTACTCTATAACAAGCAAAACCTACCTCAACTGTCCTAAGAGCAGGGCACTGCCTCCCGCAGAAGCCACCTGAGGGGACGGAGGCCACCACGCACCTCCTCCTCCACCGGCGCCTGCTTCCAGACACACTCAGCCCCCGAGCCCCCAGCTCGGCACCAGCAGCGCCGCCCCGCGCAAGACCCACCCCTCTTCCCTCCGCTGCTTAGGTGCCCGCTGGACTCTCTGCCCTGGTCTCTCCCACTGGTCTTCCCCATAAAGCACGCAACAGAAATTTTCAAAAGCTCTCCACTCTGTACCGAGTGAAGCACAAACTCACTGAGCTGACCCTCCAGGCCCCGACTCTCTGGCGGCATGCGTGGCTCCCCCCATCTCAGAGCCTATGTAGGCTTCCCAGCACCCTCACGGCAGCATGGTGCGCCAGGTACGGAGTGTCCAAACTGCTTCACCCCTAGGAAACCACCCAGCCCCCTGACTGCCACACCACACCACGCAGCACCTCAGACTTCATACCACACCCTGGCTTACATCATGCGCCTCACCACCTCACACAACCATTTACTTGAGGGCAGGAGCTGCCAGGCTGCCGCAGGTACATTTTCTACACAAATTTCAAGCAAAAACTCTCCATTTTTTTGGGCTAGACAGGGTCTGGTCCTCATCATACACACACAGCAATACTTCTCAGATGACAGAAGCCCAGATCTCTCACTCCTGACCTGGGGCCATGCACATCCTCCCAGCCCGTCTCTCTGCATCAGGATATCTGCAAATCCACCCACACCCTGCCCGGAATCTGCTCAGCTAGAGGACTCCAGCACAGAGAGAAGAAATGGGACTGCAGGCAAACCCCAGCACGCCCAACGTTAGGCAGCAGGCAGAGACGGCAAGAGACTAACGGCGTCTTCTGTTCAGGGCCACGGGTGAGAAGGTGACTCTCTGCACCGGGAGACTGGAAGCAAAGCAGAGGAAAGAAGTAGGGGGACAGCAGGCAGGGAGCCCTGGACCTAGGGCCTGAGGCCCACAGCCCCAGGCCTCCCCCAAGCCAGTCTGTCCAGCAGCCACTGGAAACAGGTCTCTGCAGCAGACAGACAAAATGGCCAGCAGCCCAGCAGACCTGGTCATGCTCTGTCTGAGCCTCCCACCTGAGGAACCGCGGGTTCCATGTAGCAGGACATGGACAGCAGCTGGTGCTCCCCTGCCCTTGTATTGCTGGACCAAAGTGTAAGAACTTCCTCACTAAGGAGAATACTTGTCACCTCTGAGAGTGTGCAGAAATTAGTGCACTTAACCCTCACTCACACACACCACACGGTGCTTCCGCCTTCCAGCCGAGGAAAGCGGCTCACACGACTGCACACGTTTCCCAGAGTTCAGTGCTGAGCGGCAGAGGCAAGACTGCGACACAGACCTGTGTCCTTCCAGGGAAAGCCTGCTGCACCTGCTCAGACACAGAACAGCGGCGGCTGCCTTCCCGCCAAGGCTGCACCGGGAGGGACAATTTCTTGGCCAGTGTAAAACGTGACCACTCTGCAAAGAACGTCCTTGGGAAGAAGCCAAAGAACAACATTACTCTGGGTCTTGATGTGGCAGGGGGCACTCACCCTAGCAATTAAAATGCCTACGTCCCAGCCTGGAGGGCCTGGACGGATCTCCACCTCTGGCTCCCACTCCAGCTTCCTGTTAGCGTGCACCATGGGAGGCAGCGGTACCCTCCCACCCCCGCAGAGGACCGAGACTGAGTTCCTGACTCCCAGCTTTGGCCTGGCCCAGGCTCGGCTGTGGTGGGCATCTGGGGAGTGAACCAGCAAATGAGAACCCTCAGTCTCACCCCTCCCTCCCGCCCTCTCCCTCCCCACTCCCTCCCTTCCTCCCTCTCTCCCTCTTTACCCCCCCTTCCCTTGGCCACTGTGGGCATTCTGGGGAGTGAACCAGCAAATGAGAAATCTGTCTCTTGGGCTCTCAAGTAAATAATGGAATAAACACCTTTTTTTAATCGCATTTAAAAATAAAGGCCAAATCCTTGCCATGCAAACAAAACCAGAACCAGCACCAGGAAGGGCCCAGGCTTCCACGGCAGCAGCGCCACCCAAGGAGCAGCAGCCGCAGCGCTGCCTCGGGAAACAGAACAGCCGCCCTCACGCTCCCTTCTGCCCCGCGGGCTACGAGGGCGCCCGTGCTTTCCTGGCCTCTTCGTCCTTTTCTGAGGCGTCGCTTCTCCCCAGTTGAGCCCCCCCGACGCCAGCGCACAGCCTGCAGAGGCACAGGGCCAGCGCCCAGGGAGGGGAAGGTGCAGACCGCAGGGCCAGTCACTGACCATCCCCTGTCTCCCGGGACAGAAGTCAGCGGTGCCTCCGGAGACACTTCCCAAGCACACCAGCGCCCCACCAGTGCCCTCACTGCCCGAAGCCCTGGAGGCACAAGGGCAAACACAGCTGCTCCCGACAGCGCAGCACAGGGCGCAGGCGCAGGCAGACACCAGAGCACTGCACAGCGCCCCGCCGGCACTCTGACACACGGGCACCCAACAGGGGCCGCCTTCCAGGCCTGCAAGGAGCCGGGCCCCGAGGAGCACATCGTGCGCGGTTCTTACTTTGATGACTTTGTTGAGGCATTCGTCAGCCACCATCCTGACATCCGACTCCGCATCGTCACTGCATAGCAGGAAGAGCTCCATAGCGATGCCTAGGAGTTTCTGAAATTCTGGAGAATTTCTACAAAAAGAAGAGGAGAAGCTGTCACAGCATGAAGAGGCTGAGGAAACGCACTGAGGTACCGTTACCCTGCATGGGGTCTGGCACAGAAAAGGACATCACACAAAAATGAAGGGATTCCAGAGGCCGGCGCTGTGGATAGCGGGAAAGCCACTGCCTGCAGTGCCGGCATCCCATGTAGGCGCCGGTTCTAGTCCCGGCTGCTCCACTTCCAATCCAGCTCCCTGCTGTGGCCTGGGATAGCAGTGGAAGATGGCCCGAGTGCTTGGGCCCCTGCACCCGTGTGAGAGACCCGGAGGAAGCTCCTGGCTCCTGGCTTCAGATCAGCACAGCTCCGGCCGCTGCAGCCAATTGGGGAGTGAACCAGCAGATAGAAGATCTCTCTCCCTCCCTCCCTCTCTCTCTCTCTCTCTCTCGTATGTGTGTGTGTGTATATATATATATGTATGTGTGTGTATATATATATATATATAAACTCTTTCAAATAAGTAAAAAATAAATTTTAAAAAAATTAAGGAAATCCATATAAAGCATGGCACTTACTCCATGCTGTATTAATAATGATTCCTTTACTGAAAAACGTACCACACTAAGGTAAAACACCACTAACTGGGGTACATGAACATGAGGTATGTGGGAATTCTCTGATCTATCTGCAATACAAAATTAAGTCTATTAACAAAACAAGAGAGACTGTACAAAATAAGTCTCATGTGTTCTTCTTAAATTTTAAGTTTTTTATTCTTTTTACGTTTTAATTTAAAAACTAAAAAAGACACTGCTTCAGAAACTTGAATCCGAGACAGCCCGTTGCTTTCAGTCCTCCTGTCAATCACGGAACTGTGAAAATCAGCCCAACAACTGACCTCTCCTACTCCCCTTTCATCTGTTTTTAGGATGCTCGGAAGCTCAACCACACTGCACTGCACTCCACGTGATCACGGTCAGCTGTGCTGTACGGTGAGTGCCACAGAAACTGGAGTCTGCATGCTTTCTGTAACTATTCAAAAACGAAACGCTGGAGGACTGAGCCCGCTCAGGCTGTTAGCTACAAGCGGACCTCACAGCACTGTGCACTATCACACCAGTAACACAGGGAGTGTTCCCAAAGTAATCCCAAGAATGCAAATCCCAGTAGTGCCGGGGATGTGCTATTCCTGAAGCGTCAAGACCAGACTGCTGCCCGTGCCACCCTAAAGCACAGACAGGCTCTGAAACGGAGCCCTCCCCCGTATCTCCAGGTAGAACACATCCGTAACGATCACGAAGCAAACCCGCCACCTGCAATCCTGCAGCCTCCTCCGTGGGGAGCACACCACGAGGCACGCAAGGGCAGCAAAGGCTCCGACGGCGTCAGACACTGAGCTCACCCCAAGGCCGGGCTGCCCACCAAGGCTGCTGGGACCTGCATGGAGAAGTGCTCATTTCCTGACAGACACGCCAAAATGATAAACATGCAAGACGAATTGTAGTATTTCATATAATGCAATATATCAAACTCTTATTTCAAACAAAATAAATGTGGATCGCTGACACATACAACAAGTTTTTTACAATACATCTCAACCTGGAGGGGCAGGGGTGGCACAGTGAGTTAAGCTGCTCCTCAGAGAGCCTGGCTCGAGTCCAGAGTGCTCCGAGCCCCTAATTCAGCTTCTTGCTGATGCACCGGAGAGGCAGCAGAGATGGCCCAGGCACTTGGGTTCCGCCATTCAGAGGGACTTCCTAGTTTCTGGCTTCAGCCTGGCCCAGCCCTGGCTGTTGGGTTCCGCCATTCAGAGGGACTTCCTAGTTTCTGGCTTCAGCCTGGCCCAGCCCTGGCTGTTGGGTTCCGCCATTCAGAGGGACTTCCTAGTTCTGGCTTCAGCCTGGCCCAGCCCTGGCTGTTGGGTTCTGCCATTCAGAGGGACTTCCTAGTTTCTGGCTTCAGCCTGGCCCAGCCCTGGCTGTTGGGTTCCAGCATTCAGAGGGACTTCCTAGTTTCCGGCTTCAGCCTGGCCCAGCCCTGGCTGTTGGGTTCCAGCATTCAGAGGGACTTCCTAGTTTCCGGCTTCAGCCTGGCCCAGCCCTGGCTGTTGGGTTCCAGCATTCAGAGGGACTTCCTAGTTTCCGGCTTCAGCCTGGCCCAGCCCTGGCTGTTGGGTTCCGCCATTCAGAGGGACTTCCTAGTTCTGGCTTCAGCCTGGCCCAGCCCTGGCTGTTGGGTTCCGCCATTCAGAGGGACTTCCTAGTTTCTGGCTTCAGCCTGGCCCAGCCCTGGCTGTTGGGTTCCGCCATTCAGAGGGACTTCCTAGTTTCTGGCTTCAGCCTGGCCCAGCCCTGGCTGTTGGGTTCCGCCATTCAGAGGGACTTCCTAGTTTCTGGCTTCAGCCTGGCCCAGCCCTGGCTGTTGGGTTCCGCCATTCAGAGGGACTTCCTAGTTTCTGGCTTCAGCCTGGCCCAGCCCTGGCTGTTGGGTTCCGCCATTCAGAGGGACTTCCTAGTTTCTGGCTTCAGCCTGGCCCAGCCCTGGCTGTTGGGTTCCGCCATTCAGAGGGACTTCCTAGTTCTGGCTTCAGCCTGGCCCAGCCCTGGCTGTTGGGTTCCGCCATTCAGAGGGACTTCCTAGTTTCTGGCTTCAGCCTGGCCCAGCCCTGGCTGTTGGGTTCCGCCATTCAGAGGGACTTCCTAGTTCTGGCTTCAGCCTGGCCCAGCCCTGGCTGTTGGGTTCCGCCATTCAGAGGGACTTCCTAGTTTCTGGCTTCAGCCTGGCCCAGCCCTGGCTGTTGGGTTCCGCCATTCAGAGGGACTTCCTAGTTTCTGGCTTCAGCCTGGCCCAGCCCTGGCTGTTGGGTTCCGCCATTCAGAGGGACTTCCTAGTTTCTGGCTTCAGCCTGGCCCAGCCCTGGCTGTTGGGTTCTGCCATTCAGAGGGACTTCCTAGTTTCCGGCTTCAGCCTGGCCCAGCCCTGGCTGTTGGGTTCCGCCATTCAGAGGGACTTCCTAGTTTCTGGCTTCAGCCTGGCCCAGCCCTGGCTGTTGGGTTCCGCCATTCAGAGGGACTTCCTAGTTTCTGGCTTCAGCCTGGCCCAGCCCTGGCTGTTGGGTTCCGCCATTCAGAGGGACTTCCTAGTTTCTGGCTTCAGCCTGGCCCAGCCCTGGCTGTTGGGTTCTGCCATTCAGAGGGACTTCCTAGTTTCCGGCTTCAGCCTGGCCCAGCCCTGGCTGTTGGGTTCCAGCATTCAGAGGGACTTCCTAGTTCTGGCTTCAGCCTGGCCCAGCCCTGGCTGTTGAAGCCATTTGTGGAGTGAACCAGTTGGTGGAAGATCTCTCCCTCCGTTTCCACTTCTCTGTCACTCTTTCAAATAAATATTTGAAAAATTTTTCACTGGAAATACTTCACCTATTTTTTCTAAAGATTTATTTATTTATTTGAAAGTCAGAGTTACACACAGAGAGAAGGAGAGGCAGAGAAAGACAGAGAGAGAGAGAGAGAGAGAGAGAGAGAGAGAGAGAGAGAAAATGTCTTCCATCTGCTGGTCCACTCCCCAGTTGGCTGCAACAGCAGGAGCTGAGCCGATCCGAAGCCAGGAGCCAAGAGCTTCTTCCAGGTCTCCCTCGAGGGTGGCAGGGTCCCAAGCACTTGGGCCATCTTCTACTGCTTTCGCAGGCAATAGCAGGGAGCTGGACAGGAAGTGGAGCAGCCCGGACTCAAATCGGCGCCCATAAGGGATGCCAGTACTGTAGGCAGTGACTTTACCCGCTATGCCACTGCGCCAGCCCCACACTTCACCTGGATTTAGACTCACAAAATTCAGTCGAAGAAGTTCATATACTCTTTTTTTTTTTTTTTTTTTTTTTTTTTACTTTTGACAGGCAGAGTTGGATAGTGAGAGAGCGAGAGCGAGAGAGGGAGGTCTTCCTTCCGTTGCTTCACTCCCCAAATGGCCACCACGGCTGGCACTGTGCCGATCCGAAGCCAGGAGCCAGCTGCTTCTCCTGGTCTCCCATGTGGGTGCAGGGCCCAAGGACCTGGGCCATCCTCCACTGCACTCCCAGGCCACAGCAGAGAGCTGGCCTGGAAGAGGGGCAACTGGGACAGAATCCGGTGCCCCAACCGGGTCTAGAACCCAGGTGCTGGTGCTGCAGGCAGAGGATTAGCCAAGTGAGCCACGGCACTGGCCAAAATTCAGTCAAAGAAGTTCATATGCTATTTCTAAGCACACTTACAAGTTCTCCAGGGGGCTGGCATTGTGGTGTAGCCTAGCAATGCCGGCATCCCGTAGAGGTTCCGTAGAGGTTCCGGTGAGTTCCGGCTGCTCCAGTTCCCATCCAATTCCCCGCTATGGCCTGGGAAAGCAGAAGATGGCCCAAGTGCTTGGACTCCTGCACCCACATGGGAGACCCAGAAGAAGCTCCTGGCCCAGCCCGAACCGTTGTGAATACCTGGGGAGTGAACCAGTGGATGGAAGACTCTCTCTCCCTCTCTCTGTTAACTCTTTCAAATAAATAAAATAAATCTTTTTAAATAAGAAAAAGTTTGGGGGCTGGCGCTGTGGCTCACTTGGTTAATTCCTCCCCGCCTGCGGCGCCGGCATCCCATATGGGTGCTGGGTTCTAGTCCCAGCTGCTCCTCTTCCAGTCCAGCTCTCTGTTGTGGCCCGGGAGGGTGGTGGAGGATGGCCTGGGTGCTTGGGCCCCTGCACTGGCATGGGAGACCAGGAGGAAGCACCTGGCTCCTGGCTTCGGATCGGCATGGCTCCAGCCGTGGCAGCCATTTGGGGGGTGAACCAACAGAGGGAAGACCTTTCTGTCTCTCTATCTAACTCTGTCAAAAAAAAAAAAAAAAAAAAATTCTGGGCTGGCACTATGGTGTAGCGGGGTGGGCCACTGCCTACAACACCAGCATCCCATATGGATGCGGGTTCAAGACCCAGTAGCAGGGGCCAGCGCAATGGCTTAGTGGGCTAAGCCTCGGGCTGCAGCACCAGAATCCCATACGGATGCCAGTTCGAGTCCCAACTGCTCCACTTCTGATCCAGCTCCCTGCTATGGCCTAGGGAAGCAGTGGAAGATGGCCCAAGTCCTTGGGTCCCTGCATCCCCATGAGAAACCCAGAAGAAGCTCCTGGCTCCTGGCTTCAGATCAGCCATGGTGTCCATCTGGGGAGTGAATCGGCAGATGGAAGACCTTTCTCTGTCTCTCCCTCTCTCTCTGTAACTCTACCTCTCAAATAAATAAATATATCTATATATATATATATATATATATATATAAAAAAAAAAGGCCCAGCAGCTCCGTAGCTGATCCAGCTCCCTGCTAATGCACTCGGGGTAGGCAGCAGAACCGCTCAAGTGCTTGGGCCCCCGCACTCACATGAGAGACCTGGAGGAAGCTCCTGGCTCTCGGTTGTGGCCATCTGGGGAGTGAATCAGTGGATGAAGATTCTCATTCTCTCCCTTCCTCTGTGACTCTGCTTTCAAATAAATAAATAAATATTTTATTAATAAAAAACTTTTTCTAGAAACTAAATATCAATTTTTAAATTTATATTTAATAGAAGAGATGTAAGGTCTAATCAGATTACCATTTTTTCCTGAGAACTGTGGTAGCTTGTCTTCAAGTAACTTAGCTGAGTTGTGTGATTTACTGGCGCAAAGCTGTTCACAATAATCACGTATAATCCTTTTACTATATATAGAAGCTAGCAATGGGTATCCGGTGTAATGCTTAAGCTGCTGCGTGTAGTTCCCACGTCGTAGTGACCGTGTTTGCGTCTTGGCTCGGCTCTCAGTTCCATCTTCTGCTAGTGCACTAGCAGGCGGCAGTAAGACTTCAAGTGCTTGGGTTCCCGCCACCTATCTGGGCCACCCAGATGGAGTTCCAGCCTCTCCTGGCTTCAACTTGGCCGGCCAACAGCCTCCGCCATTATGACCATTTGGGGAGTGAACCAGCAGATGGAAGATTTTCTCTCTCCTCTCCCCTCCCCTTCTCTCTGTCACTTTGCCTTTCAAATAAAATGTATCTTAAAAAGTAACATATAGGGGCCGGCACCGTGGCACAGCAGGTTAAAGCCCCAGCATGCAGTGCTGGCATTTGAGCCCTGGCGGCTCCAATTTATTTTTTTTTTTAAGATTTTATTTATTTATTTGAGAGGTAGAGTTACAGACAGTGAGAGGGAGAGAGAGAAGGGTCTTCCCTCCATTGGTTCACTCCCCAAAATGGCCAAAACGGCCAGAGCTGCACCAATCTGAAGCCAGAAGCCAGGTGCTTCTCCTGGTCTCCCATGCAGGTGCAGGGGCCCAAGGACTTGGTCCATCCTCCACTGCTTTCCCAGGCCACAGCAGAGAGCTGGATCGGAAGTGGAGCAGCCGGAACTAGAAACGCCGTCCACATGGGATGCAGGTGCTGTTGGCCAGGGCTTAACCCACTGTGCCGCAGCACCGCCCCTCCCTCCTTACTTGTTAAGATTTTTGCCTTCATTTCTTTTTTTTTTTCAAAGGTTTATTTTATTTACTTGAAAGTCAGAGAGGCAGAGAGAGAGAGAGAGAGGGAGGGAGAGAGGGAGAGAGGGAGGGAGGGAGGGAGGGAGAGAGAGAGAGAGAGAGAGAGAGAGAGAGAGAGAGGGAGGACTTCCATCTGCTGGTTCACTCCCCAGTTAGCTGCAACGGCCGGAGCTGTGCCAATCCGAAGCCAGGAGCCAGGAGCCAGGAGCTTCTTCCGGGTTTCCCATGAGGGTGGCAGGGGCCCAGGGACTTGGGCCATCTTCCTTCCATTGCTGTCGCTCCCCCATTCGCGGAGGAACGACACCGGACCCTGCGCTGTTCTCTTTGCCCGGCCCTTCCCAGGTTTGCTGTCGGCCCCCCACTGGCAGAGGAATGACGCCGTCCCGGGTTAGCTGCCAGCCCCCCCCCTTCCTTCTCCCTCCCTCCCTCCCTCCCTCCGCGGAGGGGCGGCACCCCCCGCCGCTTTCCCTGCTTCCGCAGAGGAGCGGCACACCGCCGGCCAGCTCTCTCAGGGGTTGCTCAGATGTTCCCCGGTGCATGCTGTCTCTCTCCTCCTTTATAGTCCTCTTCCACCAATCCCAACTCTGCTGCCCACACGCCGAGCACGCTGCTCTCCTCCAATCAGGAGCAGGATCAGCTCCTGCAGCTTATTGGTCAAATTGGTGAGGCAGCTGTGTAGAAGTTGTTTACTCCTTCTCAGCACCATACGGTGGGAGATCAGATGCATAGAATTAGTCTTAGTTCCAGTAATTTAGTCTAGTCTCAGTTGCTCCCCACACATTGCTACCCCAGAACAGAGCAGAGAGCTGGATCAGAAGTGGAGCAGCCAGGACTTGAACCGGCACCCATATGGGATGCCGGCATTGTAGGCGGCTGCTTTACCCATGAGGCCACAGCGCCGGCCCCTGTTTTTATTTTCAATCAATTCCGAATACCTTCACATTTCCCTTTTGACTGCTTTGAGTCACAGGCGTGCAGAAATGTGCTATTTTCTACATACTTGGGCTTTTCCAGATTATCTCCCTCTGACAGATGCCGGTGTAATGACACTTGGGTCAGCGAATATACTTTGCATGATTTGAATCCTTTTGAAGATTTATTTAAGAGTCAGAGTGACAGAGAGGGAGAGACAGATTTTCTATATACTGGTTGCTTCCACAAACGCCCACAACAGCCAGGCCAGATGCAGGAGCCAGGAGCCCCATCTGGGTCTCCCACATGGGTGACAGGGACCCCAGTATGAGTCCTCAGCAGGAAGCTGATCCAAAGCATAGGCAATCGCACCCCACGGCAGGGTGTGGGCATCCCAAGCAGCAGCTCAGCCTGCTGCGCCACAGGGCCCCTTCCCTGCTTTTTCGTGTAGGCGGGCTGCACGGTCAAGCGTCAAGTCCACCTAGGATCAAGTGCTGTCGGCACTGGAGAAGGGTGTGCCTCCTGCAGGTCCTGAGTGGAGTGTCCCAGAGAGGTCCATGACGTCACACAGGTGTACTGCTCAAGTCTTCCAAATCAACCTGGATTTTATGCCTGCGCTCTACCAATTGTTAGGCTGCTAAGGGGCCAGCGCTGTGGTGTAGCAGGTAAAGCTGCTGCCTGTGACGCCAGCATCCCATGGGTGCCGGTTCAAGTCCTGGCTGCCCCACTTCCAATGTGGCTCCCTGCTAATAGCCTGAAAAGCAGCAGAAGTGCCTGGGCCCCTGCCAGCCCTGTGGGAGACCTGGAGGAAGCTCCTGGCTCCTGGCCTTGGCCTGACCCAGCCCTGGTTGTTGTGGCAATCTGGGGAGTGAACCAGCAGACAGAAGAGTAAGCACTCTCTCTTTCTCCCTCTAACTCTTTCAAATAAACAAATACATAAATAAATAAATCTCTTTTAAAAAAATAAAACGTACCTTGAACTTAATTTAGAAAAAAAGAAAGAGAAGCTGTTGAAATCTGCTAGTGCCTTCTCTGTTTCTACTTGTGGTTCCGTTGGGTTGTGCTTGGTGTGGTTCTGAAATTTTTTTTTTTTTAAGATTTATTTATTTATTTGAAAGTCAGAGTTACACAGAAAGGAGAGGCAGAGAAAGAGAGAGAGAGAGAGGTCTTCCATCCACTGGTTCACTCCCCAAATGGCCGCAATAGCCAGAGTTGTGCCAATCTGAAACCAGGAAGCCAAGAGCTTCTTCCAGGTCTCCCACGTGGGTGCAGGGGCCCAAGAACTTAGGCCATGTTCTACTGCTTTCCCAGTCCACAGCAGAGAGCTGGATCAGAAGTGGAGCAGTCGGGACTAGAACCAGCGCCCATATGGGATGCCGGCACTGCAGGCGGCAGCTTTACCCACTACGCCACAGCACCAGCCCTGGTTCTTAATTTCCACTGTGGTTCTGTCGGGTTGTGCCTGGTGTGGCTCTGAAGCTTCCCAGTCACACACACATTTCGGAAGGTTACAGCCACCAGCAGCACTCTCATTACGGAATGTTCTCTGGGAACAGTCTTTGCTTTGACATGCACCTTGTCTGATGTTAATATGACTACTCTAACCTTCACCTGAATCTTGGGAGCACGGTGAACCTTTCCGTTCTCTCACTTTTACTCTATTTATGCCTTTATATTTAAAATGGGTTTCTCAAAGGCAATATAAACTGGGGTTCAAGTTCTGCATTTGACCTGGAGAATCTCCATCCCTCACATGCAATGTTACCACGACAGAACCAAGTCTAACCCAGCACCACACCATTCTCCTGTGAATCCCACTGACCCTGAGTCGCCGTTCCCCTACTTCTGGCTTCTTTGGTATTACTTTATTTTTATTTATTCATTTTAGAGACAGAGCAAGAGATAGATTTTTTTAAACATTTATTTGAAAGTCAGAGTTACACAGAGAGAGGAGAGGCAGAGAGAGGTCTTCCATCCGATGGTTCACTCCCAGATGGCCGCAACAGCTGGAGCTGTGCAAATCCGAAGCCAGGAGCCAGGAGCTTCTTCCGGGTCTCCCACACGGGTTCAGGGGCCCAAGGACTTGGGCCATCTTCTACTGTTTTCCCAGGCCATAGCAGAGAGCTGGACAGGAAGTGGACCAGCCAATCTTGAACTGGCACCTGTATGGGATGCCGGCACTGCAGTCGGCAGCTTTACCCGCTATGCCACAGCGCCGGCCCCAAGAGAAATTTAAAGACAGAGAGTATCCCCCTGCCCTCAGAGGCTCACAGCATCCAGGATGGCCAAAGCTGAGAGCCATAAACACAACACAGGTCTCACATGGGTGTCGAGAACACAACCAGCTGCTCCACACTGCTGCCTCTCAAGGTCTGTGTCAGCGGGATGCTGGGGCGGAGCCTGAGGAGGGCACCAGACCCAGGCACTCGGAGACCGGAGGCAGGCACCCCGACAGGAGCCTCGCGGCCAGGCTGAACACCGCCCAGAGGACTCGTATGGTCCCACTTTGTCTCCACTTCAGGCTGATCAGCTGTAACCCTCTACTATGCTTGTACTTAATTGCCTTGTTGTTTATGGTTTACATCGTTATCACAATCTACCTTAGTGGTACCGCACCCCGTCACACACTGCATAACAGACTAATCACAGTGTTAGTTTCCTGTGGCTGCTGTAACAAATTCCCACCAACTGCCCAGCTTAAAACAACAGCACTGTATCCTTCTACAAATATGGAGGCCGATTCCAAAACCCGTACCACTGAGTGGATACCCAGGCACTGGCAGCGCCACGCGGCCCACAGGCTACAGGAAGAACCGCTCTCCGTTCTCCCAGCTTTGCTGGCTGCCACGTTCCTGGGCCTGAGCCCACACCACGCCGGTCTGCAGGACCAGCGTTTCCACGACCGGAGCCTCCCTGCTCCACCTCCACTGGCCGCCTCTGAGGGTGGAGGTGCCTGTGCTCCAGGACCATCGCCCCAGCTCGAGAGCCTTAATCACACCACACAGACCCCCTTCCCCATACAGGCTAAACCTGGTAACGCGTGTGTGTCTGTGTGTCTGTGTGTCGGCAAGGAGAGGGTAGAGGCTATTATTCTACCTACCACAGGTGCATTTCCACTTCTGCTCTCCCAGTCTTTATACTATTTTGTTAGACATTCTACTTCTACATATTCTAAACAGCAAAATACATCATTTTTGTTGTGATCCATTTTTCTAATTTTAAGTTAACCTGTTTAAAGATTGCCGTACTCACCACCACAGTCCCCACTTCCGCTGCTCCTCAGGCCTCTGCGCACACATCTGGTTTCAGCCTCCTCCTCTGAACACCTCACTGAAAACCCCGGAGAGTGGCCATCTGCTGGACTAAACCACTTCTGCTCGCCTGTCAGAGTTTTGCTGGGTGAGGGGTTCCCGGCTTTCTCCGACCTCCTCACAGCCAGATGAGCCCCAGACGTGGGGCGCTGCTTCCAACAGCAGCCTCCGTCATTCCTCAGCTCCTATGGGCCTCTCTGTCTTGTCTCTACCAGACTCCGCCCTTTCTCTGGTTCCCTGAACACATGACACACAATTACCATAAGTGTGTTCATGCTTTTGGGCACCAGTTCCATCACAGTGCAGTTCCTGGCTCTGTTTTAATTGATCCGTTTTTCTCAGTGTGATTCATATTCTTTCAAAGGCCATGTAACTTTTGACTGGATGCCTGGCTTCATGATTTTTATCTTGTCGGATGTCATATACTCTTGTATTTCTTTAAATTATTTTTAAAAGACTTTTTAATTTGAAAGGCAGAGTGAGACAGACGAAGGAAAGATAGAGAAGACAGAGAGAACTTCCACCTGGTGGTTCACTCCCCAAATGGCCACAAAGACCAGGGTTGGGCTAGGCCAAACCAAGGAACCTGGAACTCCAGTCTGGTCTCCCACAAGAGTGGCAGGGACTCAAGCACTTGGCCATCCTCCAGTGCTTTCCCAGGCACATTAGCAGAGAACTGGATCGGAAGTGGAGCAGCTGGGAACCAGTGCTCTGATATGGGATGCCAGTATCCTAAATGGTGGCTTAACCACTATGCCACAATGCCAGCCCCGTATTTTTTTTTTTTTTAACATAAAGAAACACCACCTTTTATTTCTATTTGCGTGGGGGAAATCACATCTTGCAACATGCTGTATGCACAACAGTGAAGTCCAGTTTCCTTAAAGACGAGAGCCTCTGAGGTCAGCTTTACCTAAGGTACACATTATCATAGACTTCTAACACTCCACTCTCGTCCACTGCAAATCTTTAGGCTACACCTAACATTACACACAGATCTGTCTTCTCCTTCGGTCTTTAAAGGCCGTCCAGTCCTTGGAGAAGTGTGGCCCTCCAGCTGTTAACATCAGAAGGCACACAGTTACGGCCCTGTCTCCACCCGGCTGATTTCTGCTCCAGCCAACGGCGTAGCTCTGAGCTGAGCACAATTCCGGGGAGGTTTCCACTGCTAACAGTAAACACCACTGGTCAACAACCCACATGAGGCCAGCGTACGACAGAGGGGCTGCCTCCTGAGCAGGCTGTCCAAGAACACGAGTTCCACCTCGGGCGCAGGGAGCGCGGTCTTCTCAATGGTTCAAACCGCTCTCTACGTTCAACCACAGGACCCGGGCTCCTCAGGGCAGGACTAGACTTCTTCCTGGACACAGCAGGCCAGCAAGGACAGCCACACATCAGCACAGAATTGCACACTTGTGTTGCAGCCAGGGAACAGGTGCAGGGCCCTGTACCGCAGAAGAGCGGAGGGGGCGCTGGCGGCCATGTCATCCATCACAGCCAGCAGGTGGCTCTGGCGTCTAAGAGAGATGAACACTTACCACCACTTGGCACCTAGGCAGTATGGAACAATTCACCAGGTAAAATTCTAGGTGGAACCGCAGGTTTGGAAAGTTCTGGGATCTGACAGACCGTCTACAGGAGCACCGGTATTTGGATCAACCACATCTTCAAGTGGAGACCTTCTTCTAGCAGCGAGTCCTGCGGCTTCCTGCCAGACCAGGTGCAGGGCGTCCACGAAGCCCTTGGCCTTCCTCCCCACAGGAGCACCTTGCCCCCGCACCAGCTCCACCCCCACCCCCACCCCCAGCTGCCGCCTCTCGGCTCCCCAGTCCAGCCTCACGCTCCACTTGGGGGCCATAGCCGGAAAGCAGACCCTGTGTTGCAGTAACATTCTTAAACCCTGCCCTGGGATATTCAGTCACCGTGAGAGGGTTTCCCCACACTGGGTATCACTTTGATACTTTGACTGCAGCAGAGGGCCGAGCAGCAAACGTGTCTGGGGGCCCGCCCCACTGCTCCGTGAAGGCTGACCCTCTCAGGTGACCCAGCCCCAGCCTCGAGTCTCGACTCAGTTCCTACAGGCATGGGCTCACCAGTACCCGACAAAACACTGAGGGGCCCCGGCCGCTCGCTGCAGCCCCCTCCCTGACCACTCTGGGCTACCAGCTCCGCCCCTCAACCCAGCACACCACCCCTTTGCCTCAGCTTCCCCTCCTCAAGCCAGGGCCGGGAAACCCCCTCCAGGAAGTGATCTGCGAAATGACAAGAGTGTCACCTCATTCATTCTTCCATACTTCCTAGATCACTCTTACTTCTCTCATGTCTCATGCCATGAAAACCACGGTTACATATATTGCACCCATTTACAAGTTTCAGGCAAGAAAATAAATAATATCCCTGTTAACGATTCTTAGCCAGAAGCAAAAATCTTTTATGAATTCTCTAACCTGAATTATTCCTGTATTGTCAATCTCTTCTGAAAAGCAAAAATCTTTTATGAATTCTTTAACCTAATTTTTACCATAGTGTCAGTATCCTCTCCAGTCACAAATGTAAATATGTTAATAATAACATTCTCAGAGCCGGTGCTGTGCAGTAGCATTAGTAAAGTCCCCGCCTGCAGTGCCAGCATCCCATATGGGCGCTGGTTCAGTCCAGGTTGCTCCACTACCCACCAGCTCCCTGCTAATGCACCTGGGAAAGCAGTGGAGGATGACCCAAGTCCTTGGGCTCTGCACCTACATGGGAAACCCAGAAGAAGCTCCTGGCTCCCGGCTTCAGATCAGCCCAGCTCCGGCCGTTGTGGCCATCTGGGGAGTGAACCAGCAGATGGAAGACTTCTCCCTCTCTCTGCCTCTGCTTCTGCGTAATCCTGCCTTTCAAATAAATAAATAAGTCTTTTTAAAAACTACTAACATTCTCTTGTATATATGTATCTTAACTTTTAATCCCGCTATTCACTCATCACTAAGGTGAAGTTTCCTGTTCTGACAGGATGAACAGCACTGCACCAACACAACACACCTGTGCCAAAGGCACACATCTGGAAGTGAAACTCACTCCCACGGCCAACACACTAGTCGCATACTTTGTTCTGCCAAACTGCCTTCTGCGAAGGCTGCATAGGCTCTGACAAATACCCCAAGTGACTTTTAAAGTTCACCACTTTGACAGACAAAAAGTGTTTTTATTTTTGTCTCAATCTCACTCCACTGCCTCTCTGTTTCTGAGCTCGGGCTGCTACAGGAAAACACTGCAGCCAGAGTGGCCTGGACAACATTCACTTTTCACCGTCCTGGAAGTTTGAGGACAAGGTGACGAGCGTCCAGGGTAGGGAACATCCAGAGAGCACGAAAGGCCCGGCCCCTCTCCTCCACACCTTACCCTCATTTGCTTGCTCCTCAGTTTTGTATATTTCATTTATTTGAAAGGCAGAGAGACAGAGAGTGCGTGATCTTCCATCTGCTGGTTCCCTTCCCAAGTGCCCACAACAGTCAGGACTGGGCCAGGCCAAGGCCAGGAACCCAAAACTCAATCTGGGTCTCCTGGGGTGACAGGGCCTCAAGTACTCGAGCCACCGCCCACGGCCCCACAGGGTGCAGATTGGAGGGAAGCTGGATCAGGAGCAGAGCTGGGACTGAACCATCCCAATCAAGGACTTAACAAACAGCCCGCCTGCCATATTCTTTATGATAAACCAGTAAATGCAAATATTTTCCTGAGCACCGGTAGCCATTCCAACAAATCACCAAGCCTGAGGAGCGGTCATACAGACCTCCGACTTCCAGCTCATGGCCAAACAGCACAGGTGGCCTGCCGGGACACGCCACTGGCGTGTGAAGTGAGGGCAGTCTCGCGGGAGCGACAAACTCCAGGAACACGGAGTCAGAACTAAACTGACTTGAGAGCTGCAGAACCACCTGGTGTCAGGAAAAATACCCAACCTCCCAAACCTCCCACCTTCAAACACCGTCACTTTGGGATTAGGGCTTTGACTGGCTGTCAATCCAATCACATATCTGCCGGCTCACACAGAGCTGTTAAGAAAAAGACTACCGTCCTAATAGGAAGACAGGCAAAGAGCCGGCCCACCACACCACAGTAGGGCTTCCCACACCACAGTGCCGATAACTTCAGGATCTCCTCTGTAACAATCACGTGTTTGTTCTTGTAGATGACAAATTCAAAATCACCTCCACATGGAGTGAGCACTGTCACAGCAGCTAAGACACTACTTGGGACACCTGCATCCCACACCACAGTGCCTGGGTGCAAGTCTCAGCTCTGTTCCCAACTCCAGTTTCCTGTTACACATGCACCCTGGAGCAGCTGGTGATTGTTCAAGTACTTTGGGTCCTGCCACCATCATGGGGACCTGGACTGAGTTCCCAGCTCCTGACTTTGTTCTGGTCCAGCCCTAACCGTCATGGGCATTTGGGGAGTGAACCTGCAGATGCAAAAACTCTCTGGAGCCAATGCTGTGGTGTAAGCGGGTAAAGCCTCTGCAGGTGGTGCCAGCATCCCACATGGGTGCTGGTTCAAGACCCGGCTGCTCTACTTCTGATCCAGCTCCCTATTAATGTGCCTGGGAAAGCAGCAAAGGATGGCCCAAGTACTTGGCCCCCACAGCCACATGAGAGATCCAGAAGAAGTGCCTGGCTCCTGGCTTTGGAACAGCTCAGCTCCAGCCATTGTTGCCATTTGGGGAGTGAACCAACAAATGGAAGACCTCTCTCTCTGTCTCTTCCTCTCTGTAACTCTTGTCTTTCAAATAAATCTTTTAAAAATAATAAGTGCACTAGATACAAAATTAGCATATCATGGAATCTCCAGAGAAGTTCCAAAGATTGTTATACTCAAGCAAAGACAACATGAAAAGCCAGTCATCCACAAATCTGCACGGAACATTTATGTAAAATACTCACCTTAGCTGGGTAACCTGAAATCCTTGCAAAACTTGGAGAGCATCCTCATACAAATTTGTTCATGATCTAGGAAGACCAAGGACAAACTCTCTGGCTATCCTATTATCCCACTCCTCTCTCCTCTGCAGAGCATACTGATCTCTCAACATCACTCCGTGAAGGCAGAGGAGACTAATGTGAAAAACTTAATAGTTTTTTTAAAGATTTATTTATTTATTGGGAGGCAAAGTTACAGAGAGGCAGAAGCAGAGAGAGAGGTCGGTCTTCCACCCACTGGTTCACTCCCCAGATGGCTGCAATGGCCAGAGCTGTGCCGATCCGAAGGCAGGAGCCTGGAGCTTCTTCCAGGTCTCCCATGTGGGTGCAGGGGTCCATGGCCTTGGGCCATCTTCCACTGCTTTGCCAGGCCATAGCAGAGAGCTGGATCAGAATTAGAGCAGCCAGGACTCTAACAGGCTCCCATATGGGAAGCCGGCACTGCAGGTGGCAGCTTTACCAGCTATGCCACAGCGCTGGCCCCAATGGCTATTATTTTGATTTAAGATGTCAAACAAACCACCAATCAATCTTAAGACATCTCAACATACTTTCCTATGATTCTGTCAAGAATTCTCAAAAAAACAAAATGGCAAGTACAAAATACAGCACTTGGATTGGAAGAAGTCTCCTGTTTTAACAGTTTGCAAAGAGAAGCGACATTCTCTGAGATCTGGACATGGACATCAGAGGCACAAAGCTGTGCTACGGCAGGAGGGCACCGAATGTCTGTGGCTATTGAGAATCATGGCACAGAAGCAGCGAGCACTCAGGCACCGGCTGACGTGCACCCCGACGGGGTGCAGCCCCACGCCTGCGCCCGTCTCTGGGATACTTCTTCACAGGCTTCCTGCGCAGCATCTGCTCACAGGCTCTCGAGAAGGGGTGCCCTCCCATGAAGGAGGCAGCAGGGGCCCAAAGGTGTTAACACTTACCCAGAATCACACGGCCAATACTCATATAGGCAGTAAGGATATTTTCTGCTTTTATCTTAGTATTGTTTTCTATAGTAACAAATAGAATGCTTACAGTCTGATTTTCATTTGTCATATATCTTATTCTCATTTATTTCATTTTCTTCCCATAACGAATTTTCTACAAATTAGATGGATTCATCCACTATACTTCACAAATAAAGAAACAAGTTAAACTAAAATGCATGCAAAAATAACTTAGAAAATACAAAATACAAATGCAAGGTGGTGGGACCAGCAGGTTAAGCCACCACCCACAGATGCCAATGTGAATCCCAGCTGCTCTACTTCTGATCCAGCTCCCTGCTAACGCACCTGGGAAAGCAGCAGAAGATGGCCCAAGTACTTGGGTGCCTGCACCCATGTGGGAGACCTGGGAGAAGTTCCCGGCTCCTGGTTCTACCCTGGTCCAGTCCTGGGCTGTTGTGGCCATTTGGGGAATGAACCAGCAGATAGAAGATTGATCTCTCTCTCTCTCTCTACCTCTGTCTTTCAAATAAATAAAATAAATCTTAAAAAAAAAAAAAAAGTAGCGTTAAAATCCATCACCAGAAAGACGAACACTTCACATATCCACATAAACAAGGACCCATCTTTCTCTAACTCTGCCTCTCAAATAAATCTAAACAAATAACAAGTTCCCAAGAGAACTCAAAATCATAGAGACAGAAAGGAGGATGGAGGCTGCCACAGACAGGAGAAGAGGCAGGAGTGAGTCACTGCTTACACTGCTCCACTGGTATAGTCTCCATCTGACATACGGTCATGATGACTGCACATTATGAACATACTGGACTGAATACTCAAAAATAATTAACACAGAAAACTTTATGTTACGTGTATTTTATCACAAAAATAAAAAAGTAAAAAGCAATATCCTGGAAGAAAATTTTTAAAAAACAAGTGCATTGGGGTTGGTGCTGTGGCATAGTAGGTTAATCCTCAGCCTACAGCACTGGCATCCCATATGGGTGCCAGTTCAAGCCCTGGCTGCTCCACTTCTGATCTAGCCCCCTACTAATGTGCCTGGGAAAGCAGCAGAAGATGACCCAAGTCCTTGGGACCCTTTACCCACATGGGAGACTCAGCTCTTGGCTTCAGATTGGCCCATCTCTGGCCATTACAGCCAGTTGGGGAGAGAACCAGCAGATGGAAGATCTCTCTCTCTCTCTCTCTCTCTCTCCCTCTCTCTCTCTCTAACTCTCTCCCCATTCCCCATCTCTGCCTCTCCGTAACTCTGCCTTTTGAATAAATATTTAAAATTAAATAAAAGTTTTTTAAAAAGTGCATCACCACAAATTTGAATCTGTACTAAAAATTAAGATTATTTTTCTCAGAGTTTTTGCTATCTAAAAGATTATGAAGAGTTCTTTCCATCTTCCAGGAGCAGTAACATAAAAAAGCGAGCAGAGTATTGCACACATCCCCATCTGGTAAAGGAAAACAGAAAAAGGAAGTGCAGTCTCCTACCCCACGACTGGAAAGAGGCCTAGAAGTATTCACGGGCACACATTTGGGGCTGCAGCTCAGGCCCCACTTGGGACACTTGCATCCCACACTTGAATGGCTCAGTCCCAGCACTGGACTCCTGGTCCACCTGCCTGCTCAGGTACACCCTGGGAAGTAGCCGCTGCTGGTTCAAGTAGTTAGCTGCCTGGACACCAGGTCAGGGACCCAGAATGAGTTTCAGGCTCTTAGCTCAACCTGGCCCACCCCTGGCTGTTACAAGCATTTGGGAAAGTGAAACAGCAGATGAAAGATGTCTTTCAAATAAAATGAAAATAATTTTAAAAATTAAAAATACATATTTACCATCGATAGCTATGAGAAACCACAGTTAAAAGCAAAGGAAATGAGGGGAATTGGCAAAGAAGCTACAGGGAAGATGCTGCTGGCTCATCCTAGCAAGAAACATCAAGCAAGGGAAGCCACTGACCTACGGTCAACTGCCTGCAGCCTGACCACCAGCACTGCTGGGCACACGGGCACAAGCCCAGGGACAGACACAGCCCAAGGCAAGCAAATAACAAAGGTGATAAACGGACTGTCTCAAGCTATCCAATTACTGCAGTAAATGTACAAATATCAAACTACAAATGATTTTTAAAATGGAAAGACACTGAATAGGGGTGGGGAGAGCGCGTGCATGCCTTCACGCATGACACAGAAAGCACCGGCACCTGCTGGCTCACTCCCCAGAGGCCTGCAAGGCCAGGTCCGGGCCACAGCCAAGAGCATCCAGGTTTCCCACAAGGGTGGCAGGGACTTGAGCACTCAACCCGTAGCACTGCCGCCTCCCAGAGTGCGTATTGGCGGGAAGCTGGAATCAGTAGCGGGAGCCAGGGACTGAACCCAGGCACTCATGTGGCCCACTAGTGTCTGCAGGAGAAACACTCACCCCCAGAGATGATTTTTAGATAACCAGTTATCAAAGGTGTGAATACAAGCATGCTACTGAATTATCTAATGATTACCACTGCTGTCTGTAAGACTACACAAAGGAAACCTGACTCATGGTGTCTGGATATTAGAGAATTTCCTCTTGGAAAAATACTGTTAAATTTAATCATTATGCTGGTATTACGGCGTTTGGTAACCTTGTAAGAAAAGCACGAAGTCCTAGTTCTTCAGTCAATGACACAGCCAAAAACACAGAGAAACAGTCATTATTTTAAATGGATTTCCTAGAAACTTTAAGACAACTGAGGATACACAAAAAATATTCTAGTCCTCAAGACTGAAAATATGCAAAGTTTTTATACTACCTCTAGAAAGTTGAGAGTGCAATTACCTGAGAGATTGTGCCACTATGTTTTCACATATTGTGAGACAATGATTCACGCGGTCTTTCTTGGTGGCTGAAAGTTCTTTCTTTCTAAAAATAAAAAAAAGCAGAAAGAAAAATGAACATGCGCTGAATTTTATTCAATCCATTTATCTCTACATGCCATTAGCCAGTACTACTTGACTACTGTGAAAAGAAACCACTGACACCCTGTGCTGGGGGCAGGGTGGGGCCCGGACAGAGGCAGCAATGAGCTCCGCCAAGGGTTCCTGATGTCTCTGCTCCAGACACATCAGGCGACATCACTACATGGCTTATTTTCTCCATTTCAGAGAGAAGGAGAGCAGTGACTTGCCCACCGTCACACAGACAGGAGAACGAGACAGCACTTCAACTTTAACTTCCCTGCATTTCTCCAACTCACGCTTTTTCACGTGCTGCGTCACTGAAACCATAATGCAAGTTGAGATGTTCTGTGCTCTCACATCAGCCTTCACCACTAACTGCTCCAGGGGGGCCAGAACGGAGAGCACACACAGCCTGGGGAGCTGCGCCAGACAAGAGGCAGACGAGCACAGCAGCTCCCTGCCGAGGTCTGGGAGAGCAGGGGAGATGGCCAAGCGCCTGGGCCCCTGGGAGGGCAGTGGAGGACGGCCCAAGCGCCTGGGCCCCTGGGAGAGCAGGGGAGATGGCCAAGCGCCTGGGCCCCTGAGAGGGCGGTGGAGGACGGCCCAAGCGCCTGGGCCCCTGGGAGGCCGGTGGAGGACGGCCCAAGCGCCTGGGCCCCTGGGAGGCCGGTGGAGGACGGTCCAAGTGCCTGGGCCCCTAGGAGAGCAGTGGAGGACGGCCCAAGCGCCTGGGCCCCTGGGAGGGCGGTGGAGGACGGCCCAAGCGCCTGGGCCCCTGCACCCGCGACGGAGATCTGAAGAAACTCCTGGCTCCCGGCTTCTGATCCACCCAGCTCTGGCTGTTGCGGTCATTTGGAGAGTGAACCAGTGGATGGAAGACCTCTCTCTCTGTCTCTCCATCTCTATCTGTAACTCTGCCTCTCAAATAAATAAATCTTATTTAAAAAAAAAAAAAAACCTGTAACGCACGTTAAAACTGACAGCATGTCATACTTTGGTTAGCAAATTTTTCGTTCTGAGCAGAACAGCAAATGACAACATGGACTACAATGGATGGGTGTTCGACACAGTGACACATAATGTAATTTCTAGTCACGTAGCAGGCTTTTTCTACTTCTAAAAATTATTTTTAAATGGCTACAGTCACATTCCATATATGTAGGATCTTTGAAAAGTTCACGGGCAGTGGCTGGAGTTATGGCACAGCTGGTTAGGCTGCCACCTGCAACACCAGTATCTGGGTTCAAGTGCTGGCTGCTCCACTTCCAATCCAGCTTCCTTCTAATGCTCCTGAAGGCAGGGGAAGATGGCTCCAGTACCTGGGCCCTGCCACCTGTGTGGGAAACCTGGAAGAAGCTCCTGGCTCCTGGCTTCAGCCTGATGCAGCCCTGGCTGTTGTGACCTTCTGGGGAGTGAACGAGTAGATAGAAGATATCTCTCTCTCTCTCTCTCTCTCTCTCTCTAACTCTGCCTTTCTAGTAAATAAAATAAATTTGTTTTCATGGATAAAAATACATATTGTGAAAACTATGCATGTTTAAAATTAAACATTTAAAATTTTTTTGCATCAAGACAAACTTTTTAAATATTTATTTTATTTACTGAAAGGCAGAGTGACAGAGAGGGAAGAGATTCTTCCATTCACTGGTTCACTCCCCAGATGACTGCCAACAGCCAGGGCTGAGTCAAGCTGAAACCAGAAGCCAGGAATTCCATCTGTGTCTCCCAGGTAGGGACTCAAGTACTTGGGCCGTATTTCACTGCCATCCCAGCAGCATTAGCAGGAACCTGGGTCAGAACCAGAGCAGCCAGGACTCCAATCAGCCCTCCAGTACAGGATCTGGCCATCCTAAGTGGAGGCCCAACCCACTGAGGCACAATGCCCACCACAAGACAAACTTTCAGAATCCCACCTTTCTAGACTTTCTGAAGTGCCTCATAAACCTCAATCAGACATAAGCAAAGGCTAAGGCGTCCAGATCCCCAAGCAGCTGGAAGTCAACCTCCTACTAAGCTTCTCAGCTGAGTGCAAGGAGATGCCCAGCCCAGTCCGGGTCACTGCAACAAACCTATGTGTCGCTTCACAAGTCTCCCAGGCTGGCCTTATACAAGCAAGTCAAGGCAGGAGGATCCAAGCACAGGGCTAACTAGACAGTGAAACCAGCACACACCTGAGTTATCTGAGGGAATGCTATACCAAGGAAATCAAAACTGCACCGTACAAGCACCCAGGACCATCTAAATTCCCAAGGCAATCCTTAGGCTCCTGAAAGTGTGCTTGGAGGCATCGCCTATTAAAATTGTGCAGGTCCACTTTGGGCAGTCTCTGAAGGCGCTGCACACGTGGCCAGGGGGCCCACAGGCAAGGAAGCACCTCCAAGGGTGCAGTCAGAGGCCAGGGACGCCAGCAGGAACAGACGGGCTCCACGCACAAAGACCCAGGGCCTAGGGAGACCTATTCCCTGGCACGTGCAGAGGGCTCCTCCTCACACTGCCCAGCACACTCACAGCCCACACGGTCACTCACCTGCCTGCTGTGTGGTAACTTGCTATCCCATAACAGTTTGCTAAAAACCTGCTGCACTGTATTTTCAGGGTCCCTGATAAAACCAGACATAACCAGCTGCAGCCAAAACTGTGACTGGAGCCTCTGCACAGACGAACTCAGAAGGAAAACAGTATTCCCTTGAGGCTCGCCGCAATGGTAATGCCGCCAGCGTCCCAGCCCGCGAGGCAGGCAGAGCAGGCCTTGCTAAGGCACACCCTCCCGGACTCTCCACTCCCTCCCCCTGCACCCAGCAGGCTCTGTCACATGGCTTCAGGAGACTCGCGAACCCCTCGCTGACAGAGATGGACTTCATTTGTTGGTTCTATCTCCCCATCTCCTTATGCCGGAAAGAGTCTCTCAGGGGAGTGGGCGGGCCTGCTGCTGGACAACAAGGGGTCTTCCCAAGCCCTGCCCAGTAAGAAGTCCTCACTACTATGGACCACGCGTGTGCTTCCCATGCTTCCCTCCTGAAAGGGGCTGACTGAGAAGGTACAGTATGTAGACTACCGCTCATCCACCAAACTCCATCCTTGCCTTCCTGGACACACGGCCCCCAGTTAGAGGGGATGCTGCCCAGCCTCCCCACCGCTAGCCACAGACAGGTGACTTGGCCCTCACAGATGCCCTAGGCATTTCCCTTCATCTCCCTCCAATCGGAACAGACACGACCAGCACACAGGTTCTGCTTATACCAACAGAGACAAGAAGCCTGCAGATAACAGAATGGCCGCACCTTGGGACTGTAAGTGACCAGTCAGAAACACAAGTCCCTGGAACTCCCCATCCCCACGAGCCACTCACTCCAAAACCACCATGTGGAGACAACCCAACATCCTTCACCGGTAGATAAGTAAACCGCTACAACCACACAACACAAAACTGCTTGGCAGTAACAAGGAACACTGGTAACAGAAAACAGGAGGAATCTTAATACACTATGTCTAGGGGAATAAGCCAGACTCAAAAACTACACGGGATGACATCAATTATAGAACATTCTAGAACAGACGAAACTCAAGAATGGGACACTGACGCCTCCTAACCAGATGATGTCCAAGGTCCCTCTCAGCTGTTGCCAAACTTTATAAGGCATGCACTGACAAAGCAGCATGTGATGTCAATTATCCCCGCTGTTAAAAGTACAACCTGGGGCCAATGTGCTGTCACTCAGCAGAGCTGTCAGGGTTACCAAGAAAGAGGAGAGGAAACGTTATCAACAGCTTCAAACTAATTACCCACATGCCTCGCAAAGGGCCACCTTCCTTAAGCGAGAGATACAGATGAGTTAAAGCAAGTTCCCTCTTCCTCCTTATTTTGAGATATCCCAGAACAGAGTTTGCAGTGAACACTATGGCACCAGCTCCAGGCCCGCCACTCTGCGCTGACGTCACAGGACTTCGAGTTGATCACGCCATGACTGTTGAAGACAGCTGTCGCCGCTACCCTGCAGCATGAAGCCTCACTACTCGGCTGTGTCTCTGAGCGGCGCTGGGGAAGCCGGCCGACTCCCCTTCCACAGACCCTGCCAGCACTGCCTCAGGCCAGCAGAGCATCCGGAACGACACCTACACCTCACCTGTTCCAGAGACCCACCGAGGAAGGACGAGTGTTCTCTGTTGGAGAGTAAGTCAAACAACATTTAAACTGACTCACAGAGGACAATGCTGTGGCACAGCAGTGAAGCCACCGCCTGCAGCGCCGGCATCCCATGCAGGTGCCGGTTCGAGGCCCAGCTGCTCCACTTCTGATCCAGCTTCTTGCTAAGGGCCTGGGAAAGCAGTGGAAGACAGGCCAAGTGTTTGGGCCCTGCCACCCATGTGAGAGACCAGAACAGGGCTCCCGGCGCCAGCCTGGCCCAGCGCTGGCTGTTGCAGTCATCTGGGGACTGAACCAGCAGACAGAAGACCTCTCTCATGTGTCTCTCCCTCTAATTCTGACTTTCAAAATAAATGAATAAATCAAAAAAAAAAAAAACTGACTCAAAAGTTCTTGAGTCAGTCTTATCAGGATTCAGAAGATAAAAGATAAACAATGTGGGGCAACCCCAATGTCCTTAAATTCAGAGCCCCTCTAACTGAAACTAAGACAATCACCCCCAAGACTTTCATTTCAAACCCTCAATGACTCTTACTGGCAAGACTTTATTATTGGGCCGGTGACACGGCTCAATAAGCTAATCCTCCACCTGCAGCGCCGGCACACCAGGTTCTAGTCCCGGTCGGGGTGCCGGATTCTGTCCCGGTTGCCCCTCTTCCAGGCCAGCTCTCTGCTGTGGCCCGGGAGTGCAGTGGAGGGTGGCCCAAGTGCTTGGGCCCTGCACCCCATGGGAGACCAGGAGAAGCACCTGGCTCCAGGCTTCGGATCAGCGCAGTGCACCAGCCGCAGCATGCCAGCCACGGCGGCCATTGTGGGGT